ATATAATAATGACAATATTCCTTCAGTTTTATAATATCACTTCCACTGATCATAAAAGTTCCCAAAAAGGCCTCGAAAAGACCCATGGACCACCATTTGATAATCACAGTAGTAGCTTGTTTTGTGGCTCTGCACACATTTTATTAGTGAGACAAAGAGCAGAAGTGGCTCAGATGATCATAAAGGTTGCAGACGCCTGGTCTATAAAGTCACAATGTTCATATCATTCTGCCACTCTGTTTAAATCTCTTTGTTTTGTTGAGCAGTGTTCTCACAGACGGACGTTGTTGGAAGTGGTGCACCAGTTCATCCGGTCAGTGAGAACCAGTCAGTCTGTGGATATCGGTGAGTTCATTCTCCATGTGTGATTCACAGCATCAAACTGAGGCTTTCCCACAGTGTTCCAGTGCTAGACCAGAACTTACGCTAGTTCTTATCAGCTTCTATTAAAGATGTTAAATAAAACTTTCAGAGCTTGATCAGTCTTGAACAGACTTTGCATGGTAGAAACAGTAAAGTGTCACTTATTTTTGTAATTTTTGTTTAACATTGTGAGGAAAGTTTCTCATTCAACACGTTCACACATCACTTGCCCTCGTGACACGACTTTGAATAAGGGAGATATAATTAAAGTGTGGATGATTTTGATTTATTGAAATCAAGTTGGCATACTAAAAGTGACTAATGTGRTAAGACTTACTTAGGGTTTCAGGAGGTCTGATAGGCTTTGCTGTGCCTTCTCCCTTCTTGAACTTGGGAAAGAATAATCTACATGGGCTCTCCAGATGAGGTAGTTGCCTGCAGACGTGCATTTTCATTGAAATGCATTGCAGCCAGGTACAGTCTGGTAACATAAAAGAATATTACATGTTAGTTTGAAGTTGCACCATTAAAACTCATCTAACACACAGTATTTTGAATAACGAAAAATAAACATAAATACAGAGTGACTAAAACAACAATGCAGCCAATATTTTTTGGCCTATTCTTGAAGACGATACTGCGTTTTCTTCCTCCCTCCATTAACATGATAAAAAGACAAAAAAGGAGAGACACACATCCATCTTGCTATCCCTATGAGGACTTCACACACACAGCGCTCACAGCTTCTCTGCCTCATTCYGCTGCTCCCGTTTTTAACACCAGGCAGAAAATGCATTTAAAACAGCTGACGTTTACTTTAGATCACAGTTTGAAACGCTCCAGCATTTTTAAAAAGAAAAACAACACGGACACGCTGTGTACAGAACCAAATTTAGGAAAATGTTCTGTCCAAATAGGTGTGGACCTACCTGTACCATATGTATATATCATACCATGACTTATATGGTGGATTCAGTGTTTGTCATGTCTGATCCTGGATGTTTCTCATGGCTGTGTTTCCAGATGAGAGTGTGTTCTCAGAGTACAGAGCAGCTCTATGCAGCATGGTGTTTTCAGCTCTCTCTGAGAGTAATTTCAGTCTGCAGATCACTGCTACCTCTGTGCTCAGCTCGCTGGCACAACAAACAGGTGAGAAACAAAAGAGCTTCCAGCTGACTGTGTCCCAGGAGGTTTTAAAGACTGTCCTCTGTCCTCTGTGTTGTTCAGGTCTGCTGTTAGACTCTGACATTCAGCTCGCTGTAGATCACCTGACCAGATTGCTGCTGACAGAGGAGGATGAGAGAGTCAGGTCAGCTTTTTTATCACCCACCACTGAAAAATGTTGTTTGTGTTCATATATGTCTGTTACCAAATATCTCATGAACCACTAAACATGTTTTACTGAAACGTTTAAAAGTAAGCATGAGGTTGACATCTTCACATGATGGAGTCATCTCAGTCTTAGATGGCTGACATGGACAACCTTAAAAATACACAAAAATGACTGTAACCCAGTCAGTTTTACAAATATTGACCTTGAAGTGATCTACCACACACTGAGAGCTAAACAATTGTTCAACTTTAACAAAGACTGGATCCCGCTTAGCGCTTTACTCGTCCAAAAACCTCAAAAACCCCAAATTTTCATACACCGAAATTTAAGCAAACTTAGCATTTCCCCCATATTAACTCAATGTAATTCGGCTAGCGTGGCCTGCTAGCAATATTTAGCCCAGTTTAGCTTTAGCATCAAATATAATTTCATAAATCTCACCGCATTTTCAGCCAAAAACAGATCCGGTGTCTTTCAGCATCCGCTTCACCCGTCCGGCGTCGAAACGGAGAAACACCAAAATCCCGGTGTTACAAAGAAACGGACAGAAAACCGGAGAGTATGGTCCCCCACCCCCTGCTTCTCATTGGCCCCGGACGGGCAAACGCGCAGCTGAAAGTCCTCGTGAGCGACGCCAAAGTTTGTTGTGGAAAATACTCCACCAGGCAGAAAATACGTGAATAAACAAAGTGAAACTGCGTGGTCTGGTCTCAGATTAATTTAATAGAGGTGCATACATGCGATTGGAACCAGGCAGACGTGATCATGGCGTCTGTCAAGTCTGCACTAACATGGAAACAGGAAACAGACAAATATATACTTCCGGGCTAACACATAAGAGCGTACAGAGATATACTCCGGCCAATGGAATAGTTACAAGTTATATACTGTAGGCCATGAGATTGCAGGCGTACGTACAGCAATGTTATGAGAACAGAACATACACGGGGCAGTTATCAAAGGATACAGAGGTAGTTATCAAGAGATACAGAACAGGAACAGGTCAAGGAAATATACAGACATCTGGAGATATACAACACATCCACAACAGTTTGTTAAAGGGATCCCTGATTAGTTGTAACATTAGACTTTATTTAATAAACATATACAGTATATTAACTGTAAAATAAAAACTGTGAAATACTGTAGGCTGTTTATGTTTGTAAATTTTTAAACTAAAAGTTTATGGATATAGTTTGTCGCGCTAGCACCGAGCTAACACATGTAAGGATATACAGTATCATCGGGGCTAAAGCTAACAGGCTAAGCTGAGGTTCTTCTTCCATGAAGCAGCTCTGTTGTCCTCCATCCATATTTTCAGTTCCAGGCTGAGTCATTTCTACCTTCTCCTCTCTGTCAGCGCTCTCTGGTTTCAGTTAAAAGATATTGTCCAAGATTAACCTTCAGGGTGGATATAGCTCGCTAGCAGCCTCGCACCGAGGACCTATCCACGTCATCATTTACCCAGAATGCTTTGTGTGTAAATAAAATGGCTCCGTCCGTGTTAAAACATAATTTTAAAAATTTACAAAACTAAACATCTTACAGTATTTTAGTCTTTATTTTACAGTTAAATATTTTAAACTGTATGGTTCAAAATGTCCTGATGCATCTCAGTAATCCAGGTAAAAAATCAAAAAGAAAAAAATAGTATAGGTCTTCTGGACGGGTTCTTCTCTAATGAAACGTTTCGTCTCTCCTCCAAGAGACTTCTTCAGTCTGAGAGTTTCAGGCAAAATTCAGGCTTTTAAGCCCTGCCTCCATGTGACTGATACTCACATCACATGGCTATCGTTGACACCTAATTAAAACCTATTGTTAACAGGGGGTAGAGTGATACTGGCAATAGCCGCGCTGTAGGAGGGGGACAACTGAAAACGGAGGCCTCCACCTCTGTTTAATGATGGACGGTCTTTCTTCACAAAAATGGCTTCTTTTACTCCTCTCTCAAACCAACGTTCCTCTCTATCAAGAGTGAGAACATCCTCATCTCTGAAAGAGTGACCGCTGGCCTGTAAATGAGTGAAAACTGCAGAGTTCTGGCCATTAGATGTAGCTCGTCTGTGTTGGGACATTCTTTTGAACAGTGGCTGCTTTGTTTCCCCGATGTATAACTGGTCGCAGTCCTCCTGGCACTTAACAGCATATACAACATTGCTCTGTTTGTGTCGGGGCACCGGATCTTTGGGGTGAACCAGCCTTTGCCATAATGTGTTTTGAGGTTTGAAAGCTACTGGGACATCATGTTTAGAAAATAAACATCTCAGTTTCTCCGAAACACCCGCAACATACGGAATGGCTGTTTTTTTTTTTTGGCTCTTTCTTTAATGTGCTCTATAAATTAACAATGATGGTGATGGTGATGATGGTGGTGACGATGATTATAATGATGATGGTGGTGATGGTGGTGATGATGATGTGATATGATGGTGGTGATGGTGGTGATGATGATGTGATGATGATGATGATGGTGGTGAAGATGATGGTGGTGATGGTGGTGATGATGGTGGTGACGATGATGATAATGATGATGGTGGTGGTGATGATGTGATGATGGTGATGGTGGTGGTGATGATGGTGATGGTGGTGGTGATGATGGTGATGGTGGTGGTGATGATGGTGATGGTGGTGGTGATGATGGTGATGGTGGTGATGGTGGTGGTGATGGTGGTGATGATGATGTGATGGTGATGGTGCTGTTTCCTCTCTGCCTCCAGTTCTGCTGTGGTCCAGTGTGCTGGAGCTGTGGCAGAGCAGCACCCTGAGGCCTTCATCACTAAAATGATCCCCAGACTGAAAGAAGAGCTGTTTTCTGGTGAGTTTGTGTTGAAGCTGCACACAAATGAACATGTTGATGTCAATGACTCAGGTCAGATGTGATATCAGAGTAGATGTGAAGAAACTGTTTTAAACTTGTAGTGTGCATAAACTTCTTCTTTTTTAAAGACAGCACCGAGGCCTCTGAGCTACAGCCTGGCCATGCAGTGCATCAGCGGTGTTTAGCTGCTCTGGCAGCGGTGTCCATCCAACCCAGTGTTGTCCAGGAGAGTACACCTGTCCTCCTACAAGTCCTTAGTTCAGCACATTCAGGTATTCTGCTTTACTGTCTTCATGTAGACTCATGTCAGTACTGTAGCACTCCATCCACACAGAAACAGCATCTTTGTTCTGGAAACTTTAGAGTTTCTCCATAGAGCCTGGTGGTAGTGCCTCCACGTTTTTGTTAAAAAAAGTTAAAAGTAGACAGGAAATTTAAAAATATGATGTAAGGTCATTCATTATGTGTTACCTTAAGACATGTTGACAGTACTTCAACACCAACAGCAGGAGTCACCAACCTTTTTGAGACTGAGAGCTACTTCAGGGGTTTAGAAGAACATGGAGAGCTGCTACTTTGATACAAACATGTGTACACGACTCTCCTTCAAAAATAGTATTAATCATTTAAAAGTTACATACTGTATACATGACTGCCTGGTTACACTTTAATGTTAAAAACTCTACAATAATTACTAATAAAACCTTACTGGCAGATATGATAAATCATTATTATTAAGTATTACCTCAGAGTCCAGAGTTCTCAGTTTGAATCTGTTTTAGAGCTCTTCTGTGTGACTCCAGGTGTGACTGGAAGAGTGGATGGTTGTCTCTTTGTCTGTGTCTCTGATGGACTTTAGACCTGTCCAGGTGTCTCTGATGGACTTTAGACCTGTCCAGGTGTCTCTGATGGACTTTAGACCTGTCCAGGTGTCTCTGATGGACTTTAGACCTGTCCAGGTG